AACCATTAGAGAGATACCAAAAACTTGGCTTGAAAGAGTCTTTACCAAGAATTCACAGGTACCCGTTAGCCTGTAAAGAGCTGAGTTAATTGCGCTTACAAGAAAATTCCCAAGAATCTTCAATCGCTCATCTTCCAGGACACCCTCACCGCCTTTCGTCTCCTCCCTGAGTATGCTCTTTCCCGTATCTCGGATTTTATAAGCTGTTTTTCTTCTTATTTTGATATTTTTTTAAAGAAAGAAACTGTTTTTTTGATATCTGGGTTGCAGTGGCAGTGAAAATCCGGACTTGTGATATAAAAATAGTATAGCCGCGCGGCTATACTTATTATCATACGTTTTTTTCAAAAAATAAAAATCGTTCGGCTATACAGTTTTTTCTCCAGACTTGAAATAGTATAGCCGTGAAAATATTTTCAAATATGTAAATCATATAGCCGTCCGGATATACGTTTTTTTTTTCCCCAGACTTTAAAGAAAACCTAGGTTTTATGCCTAACTACAAACAAGGATATACCAATCTAAAGTCTCGAAATAGTCAGAATCCTTTGTTTCTTCCTTTTTAGAGATTTTCCTCTCTTTCTTCCTCTCTCCATTTCCTCAAAATCCTTTCTTTCCTTCCCTTTTCTTCAATCAACCAATCAACCTAGATTTAAATCTCCGAATTATGTCTTGTATGGATGCTGAGACAAAGACATATTGTTGCTTCAATCGCAGTTCCTTCTCCTGTAACACAAAATAAAGTGAAAAGGGAAACATACTAAGCAACAAAATGATAAAATATATGAGTCAGCTGGCCTTCTACCTGCCCTTGTGGTAACCAGTTGATGCGGCTGGACCAATGGGCTAAACCCTTCAGGGCCGAACTCTCATATTTGGACTAATAGCCTAAACCCCGTTTAGGGCCCAAATAGGAGGCTGCGTGGCTGGTGCTGTGGCCCAAATGAAACAACTTGTGTGTAATTAAAATAATAATAAAAGCATAGCATGAAAGAGCGAGCCTTAAGAAATGGGAAAACCTAGCTAGCTAGGGCCCTTGGGTGGATAGAGCAATCAACGTGACAAAAAAAGGCACCGGTGGCAAGAACAGGAAGAGCAACCTAGATGGGACGATTAATTTGCAAGTCAAGTTCTATTTTTTTTTTTTTTGGTTAGACCCAAGGGTGTCCACCGCCGACAGCAGTGACTAATCCCTTTCGCTGCGGGAGCTCTCCCAAAGGAGGTAAACAGCTGGCCACGAAATGTGCTCCATTCCCATGGGCGGAAGTTCTATTTTCACTTGACTAGATCATGTTAGTGGCTATTTCGCCTTTCATGCATTTATATGCACATTTACTAACATGAGTACAATTTTTTTATTTTTTATTTTAACAAAACAAAATCATGTTTGCTTAATTATCACAATAACGATCTTCACTATATTTTTTCTTTTGCTTCATCTCTTCAATGCATATGGATTGATGTTGTTTCATTTGTTAAAAGACCCCATTGGCCATTGTACTTTGGGAGATATTCACATGAGTACGATTGAACAAAAATAAAACTCACTTGGTTCAATTAAGGAAATATATTTATTCACCACTTTAACTCAATGTATATCCTCCGCCTTTTTACTCATGATTAATTTTTTACTTTATATTTATGAAATCATAGTTATGTATATGAACACGTATCAAGTGTTGAGAAGAGTGATGAGAACACACCTTAGATTAATGTGGTGAACAAAAATGCTCTCCCCAATTAATGACATGTAATTTAAGTCCAAACACTTGAGACGTATATACTCCTGGTCCAAGTCCTATAAACTTTGTAAAAGTTGACCTCAAATGGAAACCCCCATTTCAATTTTGCAAAAGTACCTGGGTACCCATTGACCTGCATGCCTCCAAGCCCAACCGGTTCCGCTGAAAATCACAAATCCTCTCCATTGGCAGTGTACTCTTCTTCACTTCCCTAACATGAATTGGTAATATAGTGGTTCAGTGTTTCCCGTTCATTCATCTCAGTGTTTCTTAGTCATGAACAAACAAGTGTTTCAAGTCAAAGAACAGATATTCTACAAATTTGGAGAAATGATTCACAAACCGAAACCCTCCAGCGGCAATGCAATGCATGGCACAATATTGAATAATTTCAACTCAGATTCTGTTCACCTAACATTCACCTGAGATTTCAGAACCATTTGAATGCAATTACACAAATAGAAGACTCCATGAGTCCACGTTCATTATTTCTTAACTTCTGGATCAAGGGGTTGCAGAAGAATCCATTCTATTGCAGTTTATAATCAGTATAACTTTTACAACACAACATTAGACAAAGTATTAGTGGCAATGGTTTAAGTTAAATTCATAAAGTTGCACGAGCAATCTCCTAAAGCAAATCTCTTCCAATTCTTAAAGACTCGTGCTTAACTTCATTTTCTTTATATGCTTCCAAATTGTTTCGTTCAGATTGATAAGGTAGAACAGCATGGTAGTGACCAAATGGCCACTTTCAAAATTTGTAACTCACCTCAAACTTTCTCGGATCTCTTCGAGTTCTGAAGATGACGACAAGGCTATCTGGCATCAAAACTTGGCCCATGAATTTTCAAGAATCCAACTCCATCTGAGGTGTTGTCCATGAATGAGAAATCCTGCTTGCCATAAATGATACCCTCAATCACCGTGTTTCAAATACACTCAAGGTTATACGATGTCATTGTTGATTCTCCACCTACTCACTGCAATTTCCATGACTGCAATGACTCAGGTAGCAAATACCAATTCCGTCTCACATGGACATCCTTTGCATCCATAGTTTTATAACAATGATCAACCTCATCAATCGGAGTCATAATCACCACCCATATCTGAGTTCATATCATCATCCACGCCCCTATCCTCCTGCCCAACGGTGCTCCCGCCTCCAAAATCTTCAAAAGAATTCTCAACATGGTCTCTTCTTATATGCCCTCTCTCATCATCTTCCCAATCTCTGTGGTAACTAACCAATTCCCTATCCACTTTTGCCTTCCTCGGGCTTATTAAAACCAACTCAGCCAATTTTCTTCTCGCCAAATACAAATCATTCGGCTCTATCAACTCACCCTTCTTATAAGCCTCCCTAAGAAACACTGTATGAAGCTTCCCATGATTTCCTCTAGTTGAAATATAGAAAATACCCTGATGCTGAAGAAGAAATTCTTTCAACTTATTTGGCAAATTCATAGCCATCCTAAAATGGGCAATCCTCTCCAATGTAATCTTCTTCTCCACCGTTAACGACAACAACTCATGAATCACAGCAACTGCTCTCTTCTCCATTCTCTTCTGAGCCTCAAGTGACCTCAAGTCATAACCAGAAACATCCTCATACGGTGACCAATAAGGAACTCTCTGCCATTTCCACACTGCAATCCTATAATACTTTCCTATCTTAAACCCGGGTGGAAAATTCACAATGAATGAGAACCTTATATCCTCAGCATCAATTCCTTTTTCCCTATACTCTATCTCCCTAAGCTTCTCAATAGCACACACAGATAAACTCGGGTCTTTCTCAACAACCTCAATGTACTTATTCCTAGTTTCCTGCGCATCAAACAGTCTAAAATACTGAGGGTGCTTGATAATTACCGAGTATTCGAAATCATCAGGCAGCCCAAATTCAGCCCTTGCAATCCGAACATGCTCGAGGCGGAGCCGGCCGGTGTTAGACATCATCAAAAGCTTTCTGAGACAGGTCACGGCGTCAGGGATTTGTTCGATGAGAGCCTTCTTTTCCTGCTCAATCTGGAGGTGGGCTTTTCGGGTTAAGCGACAATAAAGGATTCTCTGAACTGGGTGCTCGTAAATCTCAAAGACATGAGGGAATTTGAGGACGAAAGCGCCAGCTTCGTTCTGTTTGAAACCGAGGCGGCGAGCGAGGAGGTCGAGGCGGGAGATTTGGATGACTTGGTTAGGCTGGGAGAGAATGAGGTCCTGGAATTTGAGGACCTTGCGGGTCTTCTTCTCAACCTCCATGTAATTGTCGTAGCCATGGTCTCGGACTCTTTCTTGCTTCTTGGGTATGGAGGTGGACTGGGACATGGGTCTTGCGGAAGTGAGATTCAAGAGGATGAATGTGATGGGTTTCAGAGTTTTGGATTTGGTTTTGAAGAAATTGGATGAATAAGCTAAGAACATGTGCATTTTAGCTCTACTGGGGGCTTAGGGTTTTGCGCAGGGTTTTGGCGTTGGAGATGGTCAGTTTGCAACAGAAGTTAACAAGTGTGTGCTTGTTGCTGAGGAGGAGGAGCAGAGAAAAGCATTAAGTGGGACCAGTGCGGGTGTAAATTGAAGAAAGATCAAGATGTTCAGGGAAAAAAGGAATTACCAGAATTTATAAGGCGCAAGTGTAAAACTACATTTCCACTGGGCTACTTATCAAAATTAGATCCTAAAATGGATTTTGTGGGCTTCAAATTCGTAAAAAACGAAACGATCTGCTGCAGGCGTGGCCTGCAAATGGTGGGACTTCTACAATAAGAAGTTAAAGTGAGGAAGTTATTTGAGGAGACCGATCCGACCGTCAGAACATTTAAAATATTTAAGTCCCATGATTTCTTTACATTTGTTGATGGTGAGATTTGACCTTCTCAAATAACCTCCTCACTTTAAGCCCTCATTATAGCCTTTCCGGCAAATGGTAATGGTATGGTACAGTTTGGGCCAGAGCTTATCTTTAGGCCATGGTGATGAGATAGGAAAAGCCCAAACAAGAAATAATTTCTAGATTGGTTCAATTGTGCGTGAGAAAAATGCACCAAGGTTAAGTAAATCTTGGAAATTTTTGATAGAAAAGAGAGAAGTAATTTAGCAAAAAATTCTTTAATCCCCAACAAAAAAATAAAGGATAGGTAGAGAGAGGCACCGAAATTAAAACAAGCATAAAGAAAGAGTTGAGGGGGATTAAAGAGAGAGACCCAGCCATTTCAACATCCAAGTTCAAAATAAAACCATTAGCCAAAAAGGTTGTTTTCAATGTCACAACTCTGTACGGTATCGATAATTTAACAAAACACAAAAGGCAGAGCTGAGCCTACCCCGTAGGTCCACTAAGTCAATACCCGAACCACCACTCTTCAACTCTTGTTTTAAATTCAAAACCAGACCAGATTAAGCAGTTTACCACATAATAATTCTCCACATGTGGTTCGTTCTTGACTCGAAACCCGTGTGCGAAACATTTCATCTCAAGCTCCTTACTATCCCATTCTAATCTTCTATGTTTCCCCATATATCCCTTTTTCTTTTCCCAAACCATCAAAAGCAAAAAGAAGGTAACAAAATAAAAGCATGGTTGTCAAGCACTAACATTATGGTACTTGAAGAGCCGATTTTATCTTCTCAATTGTGTGCGAGACGAGGGTGTTAACTGTATTAATCGACTGCACATTGAGCTTGGCTGCAGGATAGTTACTCCCCAAAATTTGGAATCCAACAGTCAGAAAACATCCACCATCGTCGCAGCCATTGCCTTCAGTTTTGACCATACCATAGCCAGGTGGACCACCAGGGAGGATTGCAAATCCTGATGGTAGGAGAGCAACATAGGCAGAATCTCCACCGCGCATCACGGCACTCATTGATGCTGGGTCAACCGGTGCATACACTACAAGTGAGCCTGAAGCGTCGCTCCACGACTCTTGTAACATCAGCATGGTATTCTCATTGGCATCTACCACCTGAAATTGGCAAAGTAACATACACACAATGAAACAACTGGTGCATAGGGGGAGGAGAAAAGAGTAGAAACTTAGCAACCACTCACATTGGCACGAAGGAGAGAAACACAGTTGCCACCTCCTTGGGACTTGGCAATGCGAAGCATGAGTTGCATTTTATGAGTTTTGGACAAAACGTCCCATTGATCCCTTAACTGTTCATCTCGCAAAAAATCAAACAGCCTATGCCTTGATACTGGTAGCCAAACAGATGTCGAGCCACTCAACACGATCCCAGAAGGCTCACCTGGGTCATCCACACTCTTCCGGGCCATAACCCTCAAATCTTCACTAACATTATTAACACACAGTTTGTCCCAGTTGCGCACAGATGAGGCAGAAACCCCAGCACAGAAGTTATCAATCATACGTTGTGCCAGCTTTAACATGCTTTTTTTACCATTGGTACCTAACCCTGTCGAATATAGGTATTTGTCAGAACATAAAACTTCCATATTTGTCAGAAAATGTAAAAGAAGGCAAGTAGACTGACCTGTATGATCTTCAATTGAGTTGGTAGAGGAGATGAGGAATGCCAGGCACTCACATTGCCTTTGCAGAGTGGAAAGCCACCTCTGTGCACCAAAGCCCATACCCGAACGTAGTAATTGCCAGAAGAGGTGGTGCACGGTATTCTCATCGTATTCGGAGTGTTCTATCCAAGTCACCTGCAAAGTACTATCCATTAATTGGCGGCACCCACATAGCATCTATTCCAAACTCATGAACTACTATTGAGTTCCACTAGTTACCTCTTTCAAATGAAAAAAGGCAACATCAAAAAACCCTTAAAAGCTCCCTGTAGACTATATCCTGATGGTTTTTTTCACACCCAAAATTTAATTTGTATCTCTTTTTTTGTCCAGAAATTTACTTCATATATAGAAGAAGGCATTTCCTAAGAAAAGGCAAAAGGTACGCCCAGAACCAAGTTTTACTTGTTCCCTTATTGGTCGTTCAGGCCATGCAGCCTGCTGACCTACATTATGAATTTACCAAAGTGACCCTTCTCAGTTTTCACTCAGAAAAAAAATCATTGCATACAAACAATTTATCAAAAGCCAAAAAAGAATGCCATGTGTATGGGGGAGAGAGAGAGAGAGAGAGAGAGAGAGAGTATAACCTAGACATGAGTTGACATGAACTGAAGACAATCATAAATTAAGAGTGCACCAAACAAGTTTGTGGAAAAGATAAAGATGAAAAGTCAAAATTCAGGCTTGTGGAGAAACTAACAATATAATAAAATAGTGTGCAGAAAATCACACTATATGGAATTCAGTATACAACAATATAAGACTGGATCCAGGTCATTCAGTCTCGTGGACAATAAAGAAAACATTAATATAGAAGGAGATATAGGAATAGAAGCATCAAATACATAGTTAATGCAATAGAGATTGAAATTTCCAAGGGTTTTACTTTCACCTGCACATAAAGATTATGAATAATCTTATATTTTAGATGCAGAAACAGATACGATGGTTTACGCTAATATTAAACTGTGACTATCCTTGATTTTCTCATCTCTTAAGAGAAGCAGTAAACTAATTAAATGAGAAACCCTGGCTTCGAAATTTGAAGATTATATAATAAGCAAAATGAGGAAGCATCTTCTTCAGTAAAATAACAATAAAGTGTACATATTTCTAGGTGAAGTCCTACTACATTACAATAGGAGCAATCCCATCAACCAGAAAGCAATTTTGTTGGGTGATAATAAGAAAGTAAATTCTTTGGAAGCACAAGTCAGGCTAAGGCTAGGTCTGGGAATATAACTGCCCATACCTTCTTGTGTTCACAACAAACTCAAATTATTCAGCTCAACAACCTCATTAACAAGGTAGAATGAAAACTACACCAACAAGGCTAACTCAACAATCATAAAGAAGCATAACATTGCATGGAAGATAAAACACAAGCAGTAAAGAATCAGCTATAACCTTGGAGCAATTATTAGGCATATCTTGCACAATACATCCAGAAGGAAACCTCCGGCAGTTCAAAAATGCATTTGTATTGGAACCTTCTTGATTGATGTCAATGGAAACATCGACCACAGCCCAAACACCCTCCTGATGTTGCTTGCAGAAACGGAGGAACTTCAGCGGGCGGACAGGGACCAACGGGGAGAGCACTTGAAGCTCAGCATGCATCTACAAAATAAGATCCTCATGAGTTCCAAATTTGCAGCAGGAGAGGAAGAGGAAAGGTGGATAAGACAGAAAAGACAGAAGCAAAGAGACACACCACTTGAAGAGCACCATTTCTGGTCCCACCCATGCCACTGGATATCACATCAATGACGGAGGCTCTAGCAACCAAACAAGAAAACATTTCTGCCCATCGATTCTGCTCAAGGAAAAACAAATTATTAAGTTCCAAATACATAGCTTCAAGCATTATTCTATCAATCAAGCGACTAAATATATCATCTTAATCTAAAAACACTCAAGATCCAACGTTATACATTAAAATAGATAGAATGAAACACAAGCAAAAACTAAGATAGAGTAATAGAATCCTGATACAATTATTAAAAGAGTAGGATGGCATACCGCATCCATCAATGTCTCTACAAGAGCCAAGCTGTTTATTATCACCATACAAGTGTCCCTTGTGCCTTCAGTTACAAAGTTGCTGGGTTTCGTACCAATACAAGAAAATGCCCGGTACTCCTCATGGTTCAATATTTCTGTTCCACCATCTGAAGTTTTGATCCACAAGGGGCTATCTGCCTGAGCCATCTTAACCAATTCATCCATAGCTGCCATTGCAAGATCTATGTACATGGATCTTTCATATGGCACTTCATTGCCCAGCATGCCTGTAGAACTCTTAATTAGAGGCATCATTGGCGAAGAGCTCGAAACTCCATCTCCTAAATTAAGTCCCATTGGCAACCCACTGCCTCCAGCACTCAAACCACCAATCCCATTTCTTCCTACCCCAAGTTCCAAACCGGAGGTTGAATTTGGAAGAGAGATGGGACTGGCCAAGGAAGAGATTGGCCTGCCCAAGAACTTGTTTGCCAAAGTGCATATCCGGTTTAGTTCATCTTTCAGTCGAGCATTCTCAATCCTAAGTTGGTGTTCCTCAAATGATATTTGACCAGGAATGGCAGGCCCACCACAACTATTGCAAACTGGGTTTGCCATAGCATCCTTCATCACACCATTCTCAGCACGGAGCTTGTCATTCTCTTGCCTAAGAATTATATTCTCATGGCGTTCCAGTTGTGTCTGATTCAAAAATTTCGTATTTACATTTCCATTAATCACAGAATTAAAAACCAAATCTCACAAACACTGAATGAACAAAAGGAGAGAAGTAATGTGACACTGACCTTCATCTGGGTCCTTCTGTTTTGAAACCAAAACTTCACTTGCTTTGTTTCTAAGCTAAGTCTCCGGCTCAGTTCAAGCCTCTGCTTTTCATCAGGATGAGGACATTCTTTGAAGAAACTGCACCACAACAAGAAGAGAAAAACAAACCCCATGTTACCAAGTCCCCCAATCTCAAATAGAACAGTAAAATAGCTGAGATATAATTGAGAAATTGATCATACTTTTCAAGTTCTTGGATTTGGCTTGGGGTATGCCTATGATACTTCTTTTTCCTGGGGCGTTGCTCGTCCCCGGCGTCTTGATCATCACCTGATGCGCCTTCAAAATTATCACTCCCTGACCTGCTCTCATACTCATCATCCCTCATCCTCCCAATAATCCCAGGATCAAAATTCTCAGCAATCAGGCCCAGTTCACTGTGACCATCCATGTTCTTCTGCACAAACACATATCAAGAGGAAGATCAATAACAACAAAAACAACAACAACAACAACATGGACTCAAATTAAAAGATCATCAATAGATATTTTAGAAGAAAAAAAAACAACAAGAAGTGAGGATTTAAGTTTTAAGCCATGAATCAGGGGAAAAGCTCAAGGGAGAGAGGCATACTATTGAAAGAGAGAGGGCAGAGGAACTCCGCATTGAATTGGGAACAGGGGAAGTGAGAAAGTGTGGTTGAGCAATGGCACCACTGGGCATGTAGGGGGCATGTGGAGCAATATCAGCCACAACTCTTGCACCCCCACCTCCACTATTACCACTACCACCGCTGATCAAACCTCCAAAACTCATCAAAAGAAATGAGGAAAAACAATGGCAAGATTGAAATTTGAAACCCCTCTAGAGTCTAGACTCTCTTTTTCTCCTCCTTCCTTTCTCTCTGATTTTTTTGACTATTTGACTCTGTGTCTCTGCAGGTTTTTATAGAAAGATAAGAGACTCTCACTTTCACAGGGGTATGTTTATGACTTGTTTTTTATTTTATTCTAAATGTTTGACCTTACCCAGCGATTGCCAGATTGAGCTAAAGACTGAGAAAGTGGGAATGCATTCTAAGTAGAAACAGAAGAAAAAGCTGTTTCCTTGTCAACGCCCATGCATGACTCAAGGCCCCCTCTCTCTAGAAAACTCTTTTATCTCTCTAGAAAATATGTTCCAGATAAATGAAGAAAAAGAACGAGAAGACAAGAAAAGTCCTTTTTTTATGATCCACAGTTCACACAACCCCCTCCCCTCTTTTTTTTTGGTCAACCACAACCCCCTCCCTCCTATCTCTTCCTCTGATAAAACTATGAGAACAAATCTCTGAATATTATAAAACCACATAACCACATCCTTACATACCGTGAGCAGTTACGAAAACCCTAAATCTCCATCCCTTTCTGATGTGCTTGACTAATTGTTTGGCAGGATTGAAAAAGACCCAAGATTTAAAAGGAAAAGAAAAGATAGAAAGTACGCAAAAGCGGTCTCAGAAAAATATGGCAGAGGGAAAACAGACAAAACACAAAAAGGTGAAGGGAAAAAGCTTACCTCATATTCACACTATTCCACTCATGACTTTTAGAATACATAATACCAAATCCAAACAAAAAGACTCAGTGGACCTCTCTCTCTCTCTGTAATGTTACAGATATAGATAGATAGATGGCAATGGCATGCAAACCAACCCAAGTACGGGGAATAGGTTACCTTTTAATTTTGACAGTGAGGCCAAGGAAGCAGCCTCTGTCTATGTCACACAGCCAAGCCAACCAAAGTTAATAAGATTTTCAGAACCCCTCTCTCTCTCTCTGTCTCTCTCTCTCTCTCTCTCTTATGCGATCTGTGGAAGATAAAAAGACAGACAAAAGATATATCTTTGTTGACAAGTAAAACTTTGTACTGTTAATCTATTAAATATAAATAATAAAAACAATAAATGATAATAAACAAAGGGACTTGAGGAAGGTTTTGCAGCTGACTTACAATGACTCTCTCAGACAGGAAATTCAAAGAGTCAATGAGGCTTTTTTTGTTAATAATTTTTCTCTGTCTTTTTCTTGGCGCAAACCTCTCTCTAAGTTATGCCTTGATTGAATCAATTTTCAGACCCAAATGGTAAAAATGCCTTCTTCCTCCTCCTCCATGCAAACCAATTCTACTTCTCATCCACTCTCTTTCTTTCTTTCATATTACGAGAAGAAAATCAGAGAAAGACATAATAAACGCATATTATATATAGAGAAGGAGAGACAAATAAAGAAAAGAGCGTGGGGCGGGACCCACTAGGTTCGTGAAATCCGCCCAAATCTACTTTCACGCGCGTGCGGGTGTTCTCATTTTGTGTACTTGCCTCACTGGAGTTTTGATTCCGTGTGTACACATCGTCACTGTCGGTGCATTGACTGTATTTTGGACCAATGAGGTGGTGCCTTTTCGAAGGGTAATATGGTGGGCCCACCTATACTGCAGGGTTTGGTACTTTGGTTGCTCTATATAGCCTGTTTGTATGACATCACTCCTTTTATTACTGGATATGGCTCCCACTAGTATTCTTGTTATTTCAATATACCCTTCATCTTTCAAATTTTACAATATCCACTCATGTCCAATTCTTTCTATTTTGTATTTGGGTATTTTTAAGAACAATATTTAAATAAATAAAAACCACACAAAATACTTTTCTACTAATTAATTAATAACTGACCTACTTATTTTCGTATATATAAATTGGATGTACACAAAGTAATACTAGTAATGTCATTAAGAGGCCGTTCCCCAAATATGGTATAAAATCACTATTGTTTTGCCTTTTAATCGGTTTCCATTTTTTGTCTTACAATCAATTGCGCGTGCTCATTTTATGTACTTCATTTTCTCATTTTCTACTTTTAAGTCTCATCGCATTGCACATGCGAGGCACGTGCATTGTCATTGGGAAATTGTATAAAGTTGTAGTATGTATATATCTACCACAATGAGCACATAACCTTCTATGTGGCATGACAGTTGGTGAAATATTATTACAATTTATAGAGCCATTTAGAATTTTTTAAAATTATTTACACTTTCAAATTCATTACATACCCAAAAAAATAAGTATACAAAATATATATTAAAGTTTCATGTGTCATCGAGACTTATGGGTAATTGGTTCAGAAATATATTAGCAATGTTTAAATTGTCATTATAGTAATGTTATAATGGCATGTGCCTTCTAGTGCATAGTCTCTACTTTTTGCACATTTGATTTCATGGGTGTCATAAATTATTTATAATTGTGCTGATCACTATTGTGGTTAAAGCTCTGAATTAAATAATTATACTGGTAAAGAAATATAGAAACTTTTTCTCCTGGGTTTCAGTTAATTTGTAACTGAATGTGAATCTATGGCCTTGGCTGAAATACATATCAAATCCAACACATTTAAGCTTTGGAAATAAGACCTGAATCTATCTATTTGATTCATGGTTTTAATGAACGGAATCATGTTCCTCTTATTATATAATTTCGTATTCAAATAATAGTTATTATGATTTAATGTAAGAACAAGATTTGCCTCCTATTTTAAGGCAATATTACTATTGATTGTAACGTCTAATGTAAAGTGTATTATGGTAAAAGACTTACTAGTGTAGTGGTTTGGAGAGTCTTAATATTCGTGTAGTGTGTGTGAACTTAGTACATTATCGTCAATCTCAATAGAAAATGTCCTAAAAGAAAGAGTGTATTATGATGCTGCGTAGCAAAGGTATCACATTTTTGTTCTCTTGGTTATACATCCAAAGATTAGTCTTCTTATAAAATAAAATAAATAAAAAAAGTTTAGAAATACAGCATTGGCGCATAATTGGATTTAAATTGTCATGTTAAAAACTTGAAAGATCGGCTTACATAATTCATTGAACAAATCAATGAAACACCCATAATACCATGCTTGGTAATTTAATATACTTTTCCCTATTTGGAAGGAAATTAAACAGAAAATGTTGTATACAAATTACCATATTTGGCCACTCAATCAGTTTGCTTCTTCATTAAGATTAGATAAATTGAATCCATTTCTATCCATAATCTAGCAAAACCTTCGCGAGGATCTGTATAGGAAATATCGAATATACCCTTATATTCTTATCCATTTTAATAATAAATATAAAACTCCATTTTAATAATCTGAAAAACTAAGAATAATTATTATCAACTAGTTCTAACTAAAAATGATTTTCGTTCACATTTTGTTATTTGCAACCCTAAGCCCAAGCCCACTGTTTCAAAGTTGGCACCGTCTGTCAGATGTTGCTGCTTTTAAAAAAAAATTAGAGTTTGTGGGCCCATAAAGTTGTTAGCTTACGTGGGCCTCTTCGGTCCAAGTATGGCCCACCCTCCGCCATATATTCTGTTTTGTTTTTGGGTCAAAAAGTCAAAAATCAAAAGTCAAACCTTCCGCGATATACAATAAGATAATTTTATGTACTTACCATTTGGGGTATATCTCAGAAACAGGGTGACAAACTGCCGCCATGCCATGGTAGATGGTACTCTGCCATGTCTGTTTAAATAAAAATTTATTTATTTGTATGTATAAACTCTGTCCTGTTATTACTTAAAACAGAGTAAAATTTGCACGTGGGTTTTCGTGGTTATATGATGAATGCGCACGTAGCTGATCATAATGATGTGTTCGTTCTGTGAATTCAATTCATGATGGTGGGTAGATGCCAATCCACGTTGCATGTGTTGTTTTATTGATTACTTTGGTTGGTTAGTTGGCTCTGTCGAGTCGAGTGTATTGATTTTCCAAGAACATATTAATTTTGAGTATGTCGGTTGTTCCAATTTCTGATTAATATTTGTTGGATATTTCGGTATTGTAATTAATTTGATCGACATTCTGGTGCTGATGCATCATTTTTTGATGTAGAAAATGAACATCAGCATCAGCATTAATAATACAAGGACATTGCTGCAGAAACTGTTAAGAAGAGAATAAGTGATGAGAAACCTGAGGTTCGAGATGCTGCAAGAGAGGCTGCTCTTCGGTATGTTCTTTGCATTGTGCAGTGAAATTAAGAGAAGATTAAGAAAACTAAGGATGAAAACAAGGCAGAAGTAATGGCCAAGTCACAGAAGAAAAGAGTCAACTTGCCACAGGGTGCTGCCTGCACCCAAGGGCCCCAAGGCTGGTGGGATTCTTTTTCGTTTTTGTGACTGGGTTGATGTTGATAATTGTCTGTCTTCAATTTGGTTTGCTCTGTTCAGCAATTCTTTTCTTCTTTCATGAAATTCTGATTACTTTTGCAGCTCGAAAAGGAGGAGTGACAAATTTAGTATTGTGTGTTACTTTTACCTCCCCACCCCACGAGTCACAAACTTGCATATTATGAGTGCATGTAATGTAAGATACTAACACATGATTGTGAGTGAGGTCTCTCTGCTTCAGGATTTGTTCATCATAAACTGATTGAAAAGATTTAAAGTAAAATCTACTTTACAATTATTACAATGGGTAAAAAGGAAAACAAATTTGTGAATGATTAATCTTCTAGCTTCCTCAGCTTTTAGGTTTCTTGTTTCTGAACCCTTTTAGAAGAAACAGACAGACACAAACAAAATGTCTTTAGAAGAATGATGAAGAAAGAAAGGAAACAGACGTGAGCCATAGAAAGTGTACAAACTGTCATGATGGTATGTAGTAGGGTATAAGCAATACAGGATAACCTCAACTCGATTGTCTGACACTTAGACCAACCAACAAACTTTACTAATGCATTCTGACAAAGAGTATGATTGATTTACCTGTCTCACCTTCCACACGTACGTATCTAATTATGAAGAAGCCAATCCATCCTGTTCTTTCTTTCTTTCGATGCCTCTTTGTCCTTCTACAAGCTTCATCACTTCTTTGTTATTTCCTCTCTCTACCATAATTTGTAATAGTTAACTATTAGCTGTCACTAAATGAAAAGAAGAATCATGTACCACTCTCTATGTTTCATGTGTACAGAGGTAGGGAATAAAGTTAACAACTTTAGAATTGGGTAATGGTTTGATGAGACCATTTTGCAAGCGAGAGAATTTATATGGTACGAATAATTATGAAACAAAAAACAAGAATCAAATACGATTACGGGTTTTTCTTTAATACATTAGGTGTCAAGGGAAAATCAAAGATGATGTTTTGTTGAAAGATGTATGGAACTCAACTTCTTCTTTTCCGGCTCTTTTTTATGAGAAAAACTTATCTACCCCGTTGCATCACCTCATTCTTCATATGTCTCTCCTCCTTTTGCAGTATGAATCCTGCTCACTTTCGAAATGAGCCTAGATCATGGTCTCATTTGGATTTGGGGTTGAGCAAAAAAGTCAAGAAAATAATTGAGTCTTTTTGCAAATATTATTCTTTGCAGTTTGAACTTCATAAAGCTTTTGCTTGGACCCCAGGAATAGAAATCCAGCTTTATTATTTGGTTGGTTCCCTTCCTTTCCTTCATTCTAATGTTTATAAAGTTAAAAACGCGTTGAAGCAAGCAACCGATCACATTTAAAAGGCAGAGTGTCTGTTTCTTTACCAAAAAAAAAAAACGAAACGGTAACTTCTAGTTAGTGACTTGGTGGAAAACAACGGAAAACAGAGAATCTGCGCATGTTTAGCAAGAGTCCAGTGGTTCATAGCTCACACTCCAAAAACCACATTACCCAATCATTCCAAGCCACGACACCACCCTGGCCAATTGGCCAGATGGAAACTCACGTGACATGGCACGCGCCTGTTGACGTGGAAGAGAACCATTGGTTCAAAACTAAGATTTAACTTATGTAACACCATGATGGGGACTGTTGCAGTTAGAAACCTGAAAATGCTGACCTCACTTTGTTTGTGCCACTCTCCATTCCATTAAACCTTTCCACCAACTCCATCTAAACAATTGCACAGGCTCTGCTCTGCCACAAACCCAATTCCGAGAGAGAGAGAGAGAGAGAGAGAGAGAGCACCATAAACATACAAAACAAAGACGGAACAAAATGCCTGGTGAAGTTGAAGATGTGGAAAACAGAGGAGTGAAAGACAGAGCAAGGCAGAGCTACTCGTCGTCTTCTTATGTGATAGAGGACTCAGAGACCCAATGGACTTCTTGGTTGGTCCCCATGGTTGTTGTGGCTAACGTTGGTGTGTTCCTTTTGGTCATGTTTGTGAACAATTGTCCAAAGCACAATTCTCGGATTGAGGGCAAGTGTGAGGCAAGGTTTCTTGGGAGGTTCTCGTTTCAACCTTTGAAGGAGAACCCTCTCTTCGGCCCTTCTTCTTCCACGTAATTGAAAAATCTTTGGTTTTCTCTCATACCCATTTCCCAATTTTCGGTTTTTTGTTTTGTTGGTGTTTCTGTTTTGGTGCTTAAAATCTCGGTGTTGCTCCTTTTGAAGCACTTGATATATGTTGGTGGTTAAGTTTTCTGGGCACTTGTGATTTGATTACTTTATTGCTACTTTACAGATTTTTCAGCCTTCAAATTCTTACTTCTTTGTTTCACGTAGAAAATGAGTTGAATTGTAGTTACTGCATTAGCTTGATAGTGAAACTAGGATCTATTGAATGTCTAATTTTGATAACAAGGATATATTAATGGTATTAGATTAGTGCAAATTTAGTTCCTTTATAGCTAGAGCTTGTGTTTCATTGCATATCCTGATAATTATGATTTAGATTGAGTTTCTGAGACACTACGAATTCCGGTTACTCTGCATATAAGAAGAGGAAGCTCTTAGGTCGCTTTTGTTTGGTGGGTTCTGTTAGGCAGATTGCATCTTGAGATAGTTAGTATCAATGCTGAGAATCCCCTAAGAAAACAAGTACAATCCTTGAAGGGTCGTAACAAGTTCTAGCAGACTGTATGAGCTGAAAGCTTTTTTGCCTCAAAAGAATAGCCACTGGATACTAAACATAGTGCTTGTGCAAGCTAATGGAAAAGCTTTCAAACATCCAAAGTCTCGGGCTTTCTTATTCTTGTAACATGTTTAAATGTTTTTGCACCAATTACTTCAACTATGCTGAAAGTGTGTCTTTTTCATTGACCCACCTTATTATGACAGATTGCCCTTTCTCTTACTGTTTGTGTTTTTTTATCCTCCCCCTCCTTCAAAACCTATTGCAATTTGAACAATGCATAACCTTTTCATGATTTTGAAGATTAGAGAAGATGGGAGCTTTGGATTGGGCCAAAGTTGTGCATAAGCATCAGGGATGGAGGCTTTTCACTTGTATTTGGTTGCATGCTGGCGTAATCCACCTGGTTGCTAACATGCTGAGCCTGGTGTTCATTGGAATTCGTATAGAACAGCAATTTGGTTTTGGTATGTTTCTCTTCCTGTTTCTAAATGATGCCGGAGCACAGTGTATTACTTTGACTATGAATATATTTTCTTGTACCTTTTGTGTGTACAATCTGATGTTATTAATTATTATTTGAATTTGGTTACTAACCATCACACATAATCTTAGTTTTAAATGTCTATTTGGGAGAGAAAATCTCATTATATCCAAGTAGACTCAAGAGCTGTTACAATTGGCAGTGCGAGTTGGAATTATATACTTGTTGTCTGGATTTGGTGGGAGCATACTTTCGTCGCTTTTCATTCAAAGGAACATCTCTGTTGGTGCCTCTGGTGCTCTTTTTGGGCTTCTTGGAGCAATGCTTTCAGAACTAATTACCAATTGGACTATTTATACCAACAAGGTAAGCAGTGCTTTCAAGAAAAGAAAAATGCTGATACTGTTAACCATTATGGTAGAACCAGATTAAATATTTGCTGCTGTTTGCTATCTGTTATGAGGCTATACATTTCAATCTTAGCAGCAAGAAGATACTGCCCCCAGTAATGAATAAATAATGTTTACTAATTCACTCTTTATTTGATTGCCTCCATAGGTTGCAGCCCTCCTCACCCTTTTGGTCATTATTGCAATTAACCTTGGCATTGGAATTTTGCCACATGTTGATAATTTTGCCCACATTGGTGGGTTTCTTACTGGTTTCCTCATCGGCTTTGTCTTGATGCCCCGTCCTCGGTTTGGGTGGTTGGAGCAACCAAATATTCCTGCTCGTGTCAATGTCAAGTCCAAATACAAGGCTTACCAATATATGCTATGGCTTCTTTCTCTTGTTCTGCTGATTGTTGGGTAAGTTATTTACCCTAATCGTTCTGAGTGGTTGTTTGTTCCTATTCAAATCAAACTGGTTGCAGTTATTTTAAGAGCTTGTTATTTTGATCATATGCAGGTTTACAGTTGCATTGGTGATGCTCTTCCGCAGAGAGAATGGGAATGACCATTGTCATTGGTGTCACTACCTCAGCTGTGTCCCTTCATCTAGATGGCATTGTGAAGAAAATTAACACTCAAAGCAGACACTTCAAAAAAGAAAAAAGAAAAAAGGGATATGTTCTTTTTCTACTATGTTAATGTTTAGTTGTTTTAGAAACTGATTTGCTCTACCAGTTATTGTATAGGCAATTGCTGTATTATTGTTGTTGGTGGGTTTTGGAATGCTCAAATTTTTGCATGTTTGATATGTTGCTATATGTAATTGCAATCATTCTTCATTCGATTGGTTTGTCTGTCAATGTTGAGTGCAATACTAAATCGTTTTCTTGCTTGTAAACCCAATACGAAATAGGGAAAAAGAAATTTATGTAAAGTGCCAAAAAAATTGCAATGGATGGCTTCGCCCGGGTTCGAACCGGAGACCTTCAGTGTGTTAGACTGACGTGATAACCAACTACACCACGAAACCAAGTTGACATTGTGGTTCCTCAGTATAAATTTATACAAACAATTAAAACTAGGTCTGGGTTAGCCCATACAAGCAGCGGGCCTTATTTCTTCTAATTAGATAGTAGATGCGGGCTCAGTTTAGTTGTCAAACTTCAATTTTTTTTTGGTCAACAGTTGTATGGGTCATTCAACCTTCATGAAGAAGACCACACGTTATTTATTTTACACCAACCCAACTATACCGTCACTATAAAAAATAAGCGTTGCTGTTGCGTAAACCAGAACAAGTTACAATTAGTAAGGTGTAACTTGATGTAATTTTGGGAAATGGGAAGCCGGAAGTTGATGATCGGAGTAACAATAATGGCGTTGTTATCAACAGCGATATTGGTGTCTAGCACGATAGAATGCTCCGCCGTGACGGCACTGGTCTCCACTTGCTACACCTTCATCACGTATGGCTCACCAGACCCCTTCCCGGGGTCTCCATGTTGCAATGCCATGGCCAATCTCAAGGTTATTGCTGACACAATTGAGAATCGGAGATTTGCATGTAGATGCTTATTGGGCCTCATTTCCACATACAACCCAAATGCTTATGCGATTGCTACTTTGCCCGACTTTTGTCAAGTTTCTTTGGGGTTCAACATCGATCCTAACACTGATTGCAACTTGTAAGTTTGTACCTCTTTCTTTCTCTCCCACATGTTTTGGGTTCAAGGTTTCACAATTAACAAATTGGGCCTAGTTATGATCTTGAATGGACTCTCATAGCCCAATTGTTGTTTATGGTTTTGGTTTTTGTTTTTCGGGAGCTTATACAGTGATGAGGTTATGTTGAGGGGTTCAATCCAACCGTCCAACATTGAGAAATTTGTTGATGAAATAGTTGTGAAGGACCCCTCACTATAACCCCTCATTACAGCCTCATTGTCTTTTTCCGACCAATGTTTATGGTTTTGGTTTGTGATGGTGCAGAATCCTATGAGTTTGGGTATGCAACTTTAACAGGAGTAGGTTCCGGAAAATTAGCGAAATGGAAGACGAAATAAACAATCTCATGTGTTCAGCTGCAGGGCAGAGGAAGGGAGGTTCGAGTTTTGGGTTGAAGAAAATCTAAATAATTGAAGATTTGATTGTACAAATTATGGAAATTATTATGTTAGGCGAAAGCTAGCTAGTTAAACTGTTGCTTTTAAGGTAAAATAGTTAATAATTCAAATATGGTAACATGATTGCTAACTGAAATGATTATAGCGATCCTACTTTAGGTCATTTAAAGTTGCCCTATAAAGATTTGATTACTGCATCAAAAAGTTTTAATGCTTTTGCTTGCCATGTAAAAGTGCTAGCAGCCAAATTTGGGTACATGATGACCCAAAAAGAGAGGCTTTGCTACATAATCCAAAATCAATTTCACAACCAGTTTCAATAATGACCCTTGGTTGGGATCCAATGCATGCAGTTTGCAGTTGATTTGATTTTGGCGGTAAATGTGTGCATCAAGAGTGCCTTCTCCTGGTTTTGTCCAAATCCACAAAAGCCACCGCCAATTAAGTGAAAAGATCTTATCCTGTGAATGAGATTTGGAAAAAGAATGTTGTTGAAAATGACTTGGTGGGATGTGATTGCAATTGCAAACTCTAGCGACTCATAAAAAATGTACAAAGAATACTAGAACCAAAGTTTGATACGTAAACAAAGCACAATCGAAATTACATTTTTACTGAGTTCGAATCCATGAAGGGACACTCGCACTTTTGAAACTATGTTCAACTTTTGACACCCACGGTGCCAAACTTTGATTTCCTAACAGCTTTGTACATCAAGGATTCAGGGTCAAGTAATTAAAACTCAAAACATCGCCTGCCATACACAGAAATAAATACATAGAACATGGAACATCACCGTGGACTGGCACTCCCAAGTCTGTTCAAGCGGCTAGAGCTAAAAACTGATTTATTCCGACAGTCGGAATCTTGAGCAAAACTAGTATCTGAACAAGTTCCTGCATCCCAAAACTCCTGAACAGACTTTTTGGTCAAACCATATTTCTCAAACTCAAGCCTTTGCCTCGGGGCACTCTGTGACCTGACCTTAGCTCTGGATGATTCCGTGTTAGCCATGTAGTTGGGGTAACCTGCATACCCATTAATGAAACCCCACGAGCATTCACTCCTTGCTGGCGTGAAGTGATGTCCTCTTCTACCGCTACTTCCAGGTCTAGAGGAGGCAGAAAATGCTTGTGGGCTGTTCTCATTATTCCTAAAAGCTGCTTCATCTGTTGCTATAGCATATTTCAGAGAGCTCAGTGATAAGACGTCCATAGAAGCTTGGTTTGGAATCAGGTTTGGATCTTTCATAGAATGTTTGGATGGAGAGTCAAATGTCATGAAGGTTGGGTTGTAACGATCCGAAGTCAGAACATGATGTGCCGTTTGAAAGGTTTGGGGTCTACGTTGGGAGCCCAAGTTAGGCTTCCAAGTATCTACTTCAAGTATCTTGTCACCCCTTATGTCATCTGCTTGCTCATATCTCAGTGAAGCATCTCGGCGGTTGTTCCGTGCACTTTCTTCCATCCACCGGTCTAACCAACCTGACGCCAGCCGTCTTCTGTCTAGATTTACGACATCCCTTACATTTGAATTTGAACCGCATCTCTGAGTTCGATGGAACAGAGGAATTTGATTAATATCAATTGGTTTTTATGAATAAAATAAAGATCAGTATTCCAGAATACAGGTTCAACAATGTCCCGGGATCAAATTTTGACAGTAACATTCTCTAGCTTCCATTAAAAAATTTTGTGACCCGGTTTCAAACTTGCCACAGAATATCATCCACAAGTAAAGCATCATATGCAGTAGGAGGGGTTAATCAAATTCTACACAGCCATTGAAGTAAATACCTTCAGTATTGAGGGTCCATCAAATTTGCTGCTACAAGCACGGGGTTGGTATCCAATTTTGTCAGGACTTTCTGGGAGCTGCAAGTAGACATCATAGAAAATGAATACCAATTATGTAAAAGTAAGCAAAGTTGGACTCAACAAAATAAAATAGTGAAACAAATTTGTCCCGATAAAATTTAGCTAACCAGGTAAAAAGTTGAGAATTATTAATACTAAGAGTATGGCATACAAATCCAACCTGGCACAAAGAGTGTTTTTACCCCTCGTATTTGACTAGAAAATGGAAAATAGTAAGCCTGATTTAAAAGGAAAGGTCTGCTTACAGGGTGGTGAGATAGGGAGGATTTTCTGCCAGAATGTAGTGAGTCTGACATGAGTGTTCGACTTGCACGTGCTCGGGCTTGTACTCGGACCAGTGTCTGCATACGCCTGAGCATGTCTGCCGATTGTTTTCTCACTATGTGGCCTCTCACCAAAGCTTGAAGCTTCACCAGTGCTTTAAGTGCCCTTAAGGCCCTCCTTGCCTGTCATAGTTCGCCAAAGTTCAGAGAATCAGGTCATCGACATCTCAGAATACTAACCAATATAATTCAGTACAAATCAAATGGATGAAACAAGTGTGCATAACAATTACAGTTTTCTTAACTATGACAATATTTCCTGTGAAATGCAACCAGAGCCCAGGAATTTAAAATTAGAGGGAACAGACTGGCACAAAACTTTTAGAAAAGGGAGAGGCTTGTGGATGAAATCATGATCTCACTCACACATGCATCCCTACTGAATAAACAAATAAAAGAAAGAACAAGGATATAAAAACTCGTTTCCGGCATAAAATAATTTCAAAAATTAATTGAACAGCATCCCAATTGCCATTTCATCCAGTTATTTAATTAATCAAAGACTGTCAAAGGCAATCATAGCTCAAACAGAACAACTACTCATTATAGACAACCAACCACAAAACAAGCTGCACTAATTTGAATTTGAACTTGGAAGTGAAAAAGGGAAAGCAAAGAAAAAAAGTAGGAGAGCAGGAGCAGTTCTCTGCAAGTAGAACCCAATCATATCACCAGGAGAGGCAAGAGGCCCTAACAGCCAAGCTGGAAACCAGTGGGTTGTGCTTGCTTGTAGTCAGAGACACAGAGGTCAAATTTCTACCAAATGAGTTGCACCCACGTCATCATACAAATTCGAGTCTATCGGTACGAAAATACGAAAATAACCTCTATGTAAGCCATATACGAAGGAAGAAGCCCCCAGAAGTCGTCAAGTACGGATTACACGTACGAAACCACTGTTTGTCAAAGTACGGTAAACATGCTGTTGATAACACAGAGAATCACCTCTCCCAGACGCTGACACTGACTCAGCGAGTTGACACATCAACTGGTACCAGTGTCGGTCTTCTAATTTTTATTTTTAATGGGCAATGATTTCCCCACTCCTATTTTATCCACTTACACTTCTTTTTTAGTTATAAAAAAGGAGTGTAAGTGGATAAAATAGGAGAAAAAGGAGTGGGGAAATCACCACTCTTTTTAATTCCTTGTTTTATTTTGTGAAAAACTATGTTTATGAACAGTACTTTTTATGAAGCTTCAAATCCAGCCTTTCTTTTAAGCCCATGTTTGTTTCCCGATAAACTTTTTCGATAGAGAAAGAGAAGAAGAGGAAGGTAGAATTTGAAATCCCAAATTAATTTAAATTTCCCC